GTGTTTGTTGCTATGCAAGCAAAATATATGGGTAATCAAGATGTTTAGTTTGTGCATGGGCACGTGCGTGTGTGTGTGTGTGTGTGTGTGTGTGTGCTATGTGTCCTGAAGTTACAGCCATGTGCAGTATTTAATAATAACACACGATAATAATTATGTATCAGGATAGATGAGCAGGGGGGTGAAATTGAAATAAAAATGTTCTCATTGCTGCTAAAAAAAAAAAAAAAAAAGGAGGGAAGAAATCCCAACTCTTGTGGATCCCTGAGGGGCAGTGGGCCACCTAGTGGTGAAGTGACAGTGGTGGCCTGTAAAGATGAGACATCTTTGTCCATAAATGCAAGCATTTGTAGCTTAGCCCAACATTATTTGAGACCAGATGGGCTGGAAGAGAGAAAGAGTGCTCTAATCCTCACAAAGAAGTGCCTTTGCTGACAGTCTGTGGGAATGAAATGGAATCAATGTTTTTACGTTGGCACAGAAAAAGCACCTTTTTTTACAGTGACTGATCACTGGGTGCATGAGTGTGTGCAGGTGGGCCTAATGAGCATTCCTGTATTTAGGTTATCTGTATGTACAGTAAGGATATAGAATTTAGAATAAGAAAATGAATTTGGGTACACAGACTTTTTTTCTGGAATCTATGGAAAATTTAAAACCATGCTTGGCATCGGACATCCAAGGAATCTGCTAACCTAAGTACAGTGATTTGCTCCACATCAAAAACAATGGACAACTCTGAGAGTTCTTCAGTCAGCTACCTTAGAGCCACAGCAGCAGGAATAAGCAGAGAGACTCTGGGTCCAAGGAAAATGCTCTCAAAGTTTTCCATAACTTGTTAGTAAATTGACCATTTCTTTATCTCTTTAGTCATTCATTCATTCATTTAGCAAAAACTCATTGATGACCAAATGTTGCTGACAAGTGTTTACGTAAACAAGAACAATAGTTTTAACAGTAAAAATGAAACTCGACCACCAGGCACTTTAGAAAAAAACTTCAAACACTGATGTTGCTTTGAAAGATGTTGTGGATTTATTTTTTAAGGTAAATTAGTACTTTGTTCATGGTTTCAAATGACTTCCTAAGTAATATGAGAACCAGTTTACTTATTATTTTTTTTCAGATGATGCCTACTGTTTGGAGCATTTTTTTTTTTTTTTGGTACTGGGGATTGAACCTAGGGGTGCTCAGTCACTGAGCCATATCCCCAGCCCTTTTTACTTTTTATTTTGAGTCAAGGTCTGCTAAGTTGCTGAGCACACAATTCTCCTGTGTCAGCCTCCTGAGCCACTAGAATTATAGGAGTGCACCACCGTATCCAGCCTTTTTTTTTTTTTAACAATTCAAGTACAAATGATTAGAAAAATGCCTTATGGCCACCAGGCATGGTGGTATAATATCAGCTACTTAGGAGACAGAGGCATGAGGATCACAGTTCTAAAATAGCCTTGGAAACTTAGTGAGACATTATCTCAAAACAAACAAAACAATACAACAAAAACAAAATTAAATGAAGAAATCATTTCAAAAAAGAAAAAGAAACAAGAAAGGTGATTTATGCTGTGCAGTATCTTTAAATAAAGGTAAACCTCTAAAATCTGGCATTGTAGCAACAGTCAATGGCAGAATGAGAAACAGATATTTTTTGCATATTGAATCAAGAACATAATTACTAAGGAAAAGAGAAAGATGACTTCTAATCCTGTGCAACCAAATAGAATATTTTCAACTGCAAGAGGTATATGACATTATCTCAGAGGAGATACAGCATGTTGTACTTTACCTAGTTGTCTCAAATGAGAATCAGAAACTATGGCAAAAAGACTTTATATTCTATGGAAGTTTCTGGGGCTGGGGATATATAGCTCAGCTGGTAGAGTGCTTGCCTAGCATGCACAAGGCCCTGGGTTCAAACCCCTGCACCACCACTGGGAAGGAAAAAAAAAAAAGAGAGAGAGAGAGAGAATTCTCTGTGGAAGTTTCTATCATTGTAAAATAGGGCTAGGAACTTGGGTATGAAACTCAAGAATTTATGCAGTTGACATTTTTAAAAGCATGTTGTTTATTGTATAATGCTTGTATTTTTTATTCTTTGTGGACATCAACATGTCCCAACTGTGGCATACAGCAGGCAGCAGGCTCCAAAAGGAAGCGAGCGAGCTGTAGGCAAGCTGGGGTGAACAGATGTTATTGACACAAACACTTCTTTCCAGGGGAAAGTCCAGCTCAACCTGGGCGATAGTTCAAATACAATATTTACTTTGTTGAAGTAGGGAGAGGCAAAGGAAGATATATATATATAGGCTGTATTTTGACCAGGCCTGTCTTCCTAACATTCACAGAAGTCCTAATAATGTGAAGAAGAGGAGAGGAGGTTTGCTCCCAAGTTAGTAACCGAGTGATGAGAATAACTCTGGGAGCTCCAATGGTTGGTCTTTTCTCCCTCAGTGTTTTTTCTTCTTCTGGATCATTTTTCAAAGGCCAATTCCAGCCCTACTTCTGTAAAGCCTTCGGGATCACTCAGAGCATGTAGAGCACCTTTGGGCTGGATGCCCTTAGTGTGTGTGACATTTTGTAGTATGTATCATACACTACTTGCAATTTCATTTAACTTTTCATGTGAATGTAACATCTTGCCAATAATTGTAAGCTCTCTGATGGCAGAAGCCATTTCTTATAGTTCACCTTGTTCACACCAACTGTATGATAAGAATGTACATAAAAGGTTAACATTGTATGTCAAGTGTACATGCACACGCACATGTGCACACACGTGTGCACACACGAGCACCTACAACCAACCAACCTCTTTTAAAAACTAGCAGTTTACTCTGGAAATGGCTAACTCTCCTACCTGTCATGGGACAGTTTCAGCTGCTGGGTTTGCTGCTCGTGAGCATTGATTAGTAGCTTTCTCAGTAGTTCACACTGCTGGTTAAGGTGCAGGTCCCGTATTTCTTGCTCCTCAGCACTGTGGGTGTTGATCATTTCTGACCACTCCTTTGTGTGCTGTGCTACAATCTCTTTGACCTATTTGGTGGAAAGGAGATGCGGTAATCTAGAATGCTCATAGATCAGGTACAAATTGAAAGCAAAATATTACTCATGCACGGCAGATCCCTCTCACCCCTATAACTACAAAAGAATGAGTAAACAAATAAATAAAAATAAAAGTACTAATCAAGGGGAATTGGGAAGTCATTGCCTATTAACATAAATCAAGCACTTTGGTTGTAAATATTTAACTGGGACCTATTATTTCACTGCCTAACTTGCCCATGCTCTGGTGTGTCTGGTCCTGGGGCTCCTTTATCAGTTTCACCAGCATTCTCTCCATGCTTTACCTGCTTTGTTTTCATCATGTAACAGGTCTGAACAGACAGCTGTGGCATAATTATTTCTGGATCATGACTTACTGCATCCTCCCTAATACATGTGTGGGTAGATGTCCTCCCCTCTTTGCAATGTGGTACTAATGTTCCTCTTGTCAACAGCTAGAATCTATTTCTCCACATCCTTGAATTTGGCTGACTTTCTGACTTCCTCCAGCCAATGAGATAAGAGCCAACATGAACAAGCAGAGGCTTGGGCAGTGCTTATATTTCTTGGGCACCCTGTGGCAATCTGTGCTAGTCTGATGGAAGCTGAGAGGTCAAGAAGCAAAAGACAGCCAGCAGCCAGCCAATCACCAGAGGTGAGGCCTGCACATGAGTACTATCAGACTCATAAATTTTTTTTTTTTTTTTTGTAAATTTAATATTGCTGGAAGAACTGTTTCTGCTCTTCATTGAGTCTTAGGATTTAGGTCTCCAAATACCCATAACCTTAAGTAAGGTCTTTCAATTTATTTTTTCCTATCTTGGGGGAAATATAAGGAATTATGTTCATCTCTTAGTACACTGACTCTCTGTTTTTCTCAATCCAAATTTCTACAGCAGGATGGAATAAGTATCGAACAGGTACTCAACATCCAATTTGGATGGTTTTCTTTCATACATTTTCTGTTACTTCTACCTTCTGTATTTTATAGAGTATTTCCTTCTGGTCTCTCTATGTATGATTTCACATGAGGACTAAGAATGAGGGAAAATAAATCTTGTTAGCGTATTTCCATAGATAAGACAAAAACATGTTCCATGAAGTGGTTCTTCTCAAAACCAATAAATCTGCAGCAAATGCCATCTCTGGATCTCATTTCTTCTCAGACCAGATGCAGGCTACTATTATTTCTGATTGGTATCAGGTACCCTACTTAAAAAACTACCAAGTATCTTCTGTATAAAAATGGGCATTTCCTTACCTTTGATTTGTGATCTGATGTCAGGGTCTGAATTTTAATTTCTGTTTCTTTTTTCATTTCAAGACAATTACTTCCCCTGAAAATGGAAAATTGCAAATACATGCCACAAATTAGATCTCTCCCAATTCCCTTGGGCCTTTGGAACAAAGCTTTCTGATGAAGACAATATATTCATCAAAATTGGAATGCTATGGCTCATTGGGCGGCATCAGTTTTTCTAGTAATAGATTCACACCTTACAAAATATTATCTGTACCATGATTACTCAATTCAACTGCTACACAAAGAGATGCTCCAGACCTAGCAATTATTTCATTGTTAAGGGTCTGTTGTCAGAGTTTCCATTTTGGTTCCTATTTTTCTTAAAGCTCTTTTTCATTTGTTCAATAAAATATTATTTGGGATGAAAACTGGAAAATAGGTCTTTATCCTGGAAGTGAAATTTTAATTCTTACATTTTGGTTGTAAAGCCAGATTTTTGTCTTTTATATATGCCAATGAGGAAGAAAATAGCCTTTCTTGGCATCACAGGGTAATTTCTGCTTCTTATTCGATTGTAAGAAATAGATACTAGGCAATTGCCCAGCAACCATTACTGCATATTTCAATGATGATGTTTTCCTTTCCATATTGATGCTAAAACAAGAACAAGTCCTGAGCTTCTGTTTTCAGCAATTATGTTCTCGTTTATTACAACCCAAGTCAGAATGTTTCATTATATTATTAATTGAGCATTCCTCTGAAAGATGCATTACTCTAAAAATGCAACATCTTTCATCAAATCCGTTCCTTCTTTGGGGTTGGCACCCAGTATGTTTCTTTTCTAGTCTGTTATTCAGTGAGCTTGGGTATTACTGAAACGCTGTCCTGCCTTTTTCTAGACAACATCTTTCACATTAAGTGCAATGATACATGGTATTCAATGGTCTTAGGTTGGGACATATTCTAAGCACTCCTATAATATTAAAAACCAGGATTGCACTTTTTTTCACATATTGCATCATCTCATTTATTTTCTGGCTACATAAAATAATTTCTGTAGTTTTGAATTTCCTCAACTTCATCTCATCCTTCCTGTTCTTTCCCATTCATCTTTTCCCTGCTACCTTAAAGATGTTGAGTAGAAAACACAGGAGAGACATAGTTATCATATCATTAGGCAACGGCTGCTGAGCACTTTTAGATCCTCCCCGCCCCATTTCAATCATTCCCTTCACTGAGGAGGCAAAGTAAGGAAACCTTTTACAAGTGAGTCTTGACTTATTATGGGGTCACATCTGCTAGATTCATCGTAAGTCGAAAATGCATCTCATTCATCTAATCTCTCAAGCATCCTGGCTTAGCACAGTTCACTGTGGAGTCAAATATTTCCCCTTGTGATGGTGTGTCTGTCTGGTGGCTGCTGCCCAGCATGGCAAGCTGCTAGCCCAGGCAATGATTGAAATTTAAAATTCAAAGTAGGATTTCTAAGCTGGGAATGGAACCACCATTTGACCCAGCTATTCTCCTTCTTGGACTATACCCAAAAGACCTAAAACGAGCATACTACAAGGGACACAGCCACATTAATGTTTATAGCAGCACAATTCACAATAGCTAGACTGTGGAACCAACCTAGATGCCCTTCAATGGATGAGTGGATAAAAAAAATGTGGCATTTATACACAATGGAATATTACTCATCACTAAAAAATAACAAGATCATGGCATTTGCAGGGAAATGGATGGCATTAGAGCAGATTATACTAAGTGAAGTTAGCCAATCCCTAAAAAAAACCAATGCTGAAATGTCTTCTCTGATATAAGGGGGGTGACTCAAAATGGGATAGGGAGGAAGAGCATGAGAAGAAGATTACCACTAAATAGGGAAGAGAGGTGGGAGGGAAAGAAGGGAGAAGGGGAAATGCATGGAAAAAGGAAGGAGACCCTCATTGTTATACAGATTACATGTATAATGATGTGAGGGGGGAAAAAAGAATTGTGTCACATTAGATTGGGTAGAGAGAAGTGATGGGAGGGGAGGGGAGAGAAGGGGGGATAGGAAGGACAGCAGAATAAAACAGACACTAGTATTGCTGTATGTATATACGTGACTGTATGACCTACGTGATTCTGCAACCTGTACACTCAGAATAATGAGAAATTATACCCCATTTGATTCAAATGTATGATATGTCAAGATCATTGTACTTTCATGTGTAGCAAATTAAAACAACAAAAAATAGGGTTTCTAGTCAGCCATCTTGTTTTCATACCATCATAAAGTTGAAAAATCCTATGTCGAACAGATGGTTTAAGTTGCTTCAGAAATGAATTCTGCTTAAGAAATTTCCAACGACTTCATAACCAGTTTCCCCATTCCTGGATGTCTTCCCAACTTGTTTATAGTCAATAATCTTGACAACCTTGATACCATGGTCAGTAACACTCGGGAACTCTGCTTAGAATATGGCTCTCCAGAAGAGAGTATCTGATGTCTAATTTTTGAAGTTAATTTTTTGTTTCTTTTGACCTAGGTATTGAACCTAGGGATGCTTAACCATTGAAACACATTCCAAGCCCTTTTTAATCTTGTCTACAAGATCCATTTGTTGAGAGATCTCCAAGACTACTCACTAGGCTGACTAGGGCACTAAGAGTCCTAGGAGGAAAAACTATGAAATGTCACTTTGACTCCATTTAACCTTTGGGAGTAAGAACAATAACAAGGTAAAGATACATCTTTGTTTTCCTAGAGGCAGTGTTGTTGATTTAGAAAGCTGTCAAATACTTTTTAACAAAGACAAGATATGATGCTCCAGTCTAATATCTCCTAAATAAAGATTCTGGTTTAAAAAAAATTCCAAGATAGTCATTAAAAATATACATAAGGCATTACTGGGAAAAGTTGACTTGTGAATTAAAATGCTTATTCTTGGAGAGGACTTTAAAGTTCTCCAAAATTTCCTTCTTAAAACATATCATTTGGATCTGTCTATCTCCCTTGCACATTTTGGTTAAAAATTTCATGTGAAAAAAAGAAAACAGATTACCAATAGATAAATAAATAAATATGTCAAATAAAGGCTGCTAATGTAGCCAAAAGTCTAAACAGTCACAGCTTCTCAAAATGTATCATATTCACCACCAATATGGTCACATAAGGCATGAGCTGTGCCTGACTCACTTAAATACGTGTCAAAATGTTTTCAAAGCCCTGGTTCTTCTGCGGTGATACACAGTGAAAACAACAGCAAAAACAAAAGGCACACTGTGCATAATGCTAATGCTCTGTAGTTATGTCTAATTTGTATTTTTCTGGAAAATAAAGCTGTAATCAATATAAAGTTACCTCTCAAATAATTCATCAGAGAAATAGAATGTGTGTTAGTCTCACAGTATCTTCCTGAAGATGCAGATTAATGGTAAAGGGAAAAGCAGTGCATGTTGCAGTGTAGAAATCTATCAGAGACCACTTTCAACCAAGTGATCCAGATCAACATCACTGTCAATGAGATAGATCATCACATACCCCTGACATCAAGAGCTGGCAAGGAAGCAGCATCGCTTCTGGGTGTGCTGGCCAAAGATGCATGCCCTCCCTCCAATCATGAGAAAACATCAAATCCAAAAGGAGAGACATTCTACAAAATAACTGAGCAGAACTCTTGCAAATTGAAAGGGAGAGACTCTCATAGACTGGAGGAGACTGAGAAGAAAGTAAATGCAATGTGCAATTCTAGAGTGGATCCCAGAAAAGAAAAACAGAATTATTGGGAAATCTGGAGAAACCTGAAAGAGCAATAGAGTTTCACGAGTGGTATTATTCCAATGTGAATTTCATGCTCTGATCATTGTACTGTGGTTATATGAGATGTGAACTTTTGGGGAAGCTGCCTTATGGGCATATAGGATTTCTCTGTACTACAGTGGTCCTCCCTTATCCACAGGGAACAAGTTCCAAGACCCCTAGTGAATGCCTGGAACTACAGATAGTACCAAACTCAACTGTATTATGTTTTCTATACCTACATGCCTATGATAAAATTTAAGTTATAAATTAGGTACAGTAAAGTGTCAGCAACAGTAACTAAAATTAAAATAGAACAATTAGAACTATATACTGTAATGAAAGTTAATTAGATTTAAGGCTTATTTCTAGAATATTTCATTTAATATTTTTGGACTGCGGTTGACCATAGGAACTGAAATAACAGGAAGTGGAATGCACAGAAGGGGATAATTCTGTATTTTTGCAACTTTTCTGTAAGTTTAACATTATTCCTAAAATAAAAAGTGAAACCAATTCTCAGAATAGAAAAGTATTTTCTTTTCCATTACTTTTGGCTAAGATTTCTTTTTTGTATTAGATCTAATTACAATGAATGAGTAGGTTTCAGGGCCTCTGTTGAGAAAGGTTCCTAAACCAAGGTTAAATGGACCGATGCCTTGCCCTGTTTGGATGCTAGGGTGTAAAAAATGAGTGAGTCTCATTTTTCAGGAGCTCTTTTTAATGACAAAAACTGAGCCAACACTAAGTTCTTCCTTGGCATAAACAAGCAGCTGTACTCTGGGAAAAGGTAAAATATAAAAAGTGAAAAAGTCTCCAGAAGAAAATAAGCAGCATTACCCCTTCTTCTTCATTGCCTTCTCCAGGATTTTCTCATGAGTGGACTTCTCTTTGTCGTACTGAGCCACAATTTTGTCAACTTGCGTGCAATGTAACTTCTGCATGGTACTGTGCTCCTGGAACAAGAAGAATTTGCTGTTATGAGTTGGAATTTTATCATGGCTGGTACTTAATACCATTGGGCTGGCATCATTTCACTAGCTTTTGCAGGGTCTTTGGAAAGTCAAAGAAAAAGTAACTGAGTCTGAGAACTACATAGACTTTCAGTCTCATCCAATGCAAATTTTCTGTTCCAGGGCATCCCCAGCTAGGAAGCCCCAACCTGTCTAATGAACACACTGACCTCAAAAAGCAACCCTGCTTTAGGGCGGGCAGTGCCAAACATTTCAAAGTATTTGCTTCATGTTTTCATATGATTCCTACCTATTCATCTCCTGCTATCCTGGAGACTGCTCTAATTGTACCTTCTACACGCCAGTCTTCAAACCCTAAAGTGCAACCACTATATATATATATATATATACACATATACACACATACACACACATATATATATATTTTGCAAAAGAGAAGAAATTATGTGAAATGGATTCTAAACACCTGGAATAGCATTGTTCCACCCCAGGTTGTCCCCATCGGCTGAATCTGAATTGACATCACTAGGTCTTTTCACTGACTTTCTTTTCAAATATACTCATGAGGATGATGAGAGCATTCAGTAGTTCTAGCCTTCAGTTTTATATATGTTTAAAATGTTTTCCGATCCGCTTCATTTAATCATGGAATTAAAGCAGCAATGCTTTGAAAATAGAAACTACTTCTCTACAAACCTTATTTTCTCCTGGACAATGAGAAAGGCAGTAACTACAGCCAGTGACTTATATGAAATCAGATTTCTTTTGCAGCTCAGAAAAAACCAGCACCACCAGTGACCCCCACCTCTAAATGATATTTGATGAAATAGATTAGTCTGGCTCTTAAGAAGTGGGGTGATACTTTTGACTGGAATGGACAGGTGTTGTTAAGTTTGTAGAACTACTACTAGAGTCATATTTCCTTTTGCCTTTTTAAAAATTCAATGACAATTTAAAAACAAATTAATTTTCTTCCTAAGTTAGGCATGAATTTAAGCAACCTGAATGCATGGATGTCTATTTTAAAGATTCATGACATAAAAAGGGGAAAGGGATTTTTAACTTTAATGAAACTTTAATCCCCCAGCTTTCTTAGTGAATTAACACAGGACTGGATCTATAATTCATTTATACGTAAATGCATTGTTGCACAAGGCTAGTCTCTGGGAGGGGAAGGGGAGGAGGTTGGTGCTGGCTGGAAGGTTCCAAGAAAAGGAACTTAATGGGCACAAAAGTGATGTTATCTTTCTGTGGATTTAGGGTCAGATTGTTATATGCAATACTATCTTGTTTAATTTGTACTTGGGACAACCCTTAATATTGCTATATTGGCAATGTGTACACCTTTGTGTTATAAACACACTTCAGTGAGAGCTTCTACAAACTGGCATTAAGTGGGTTAAGAATATAGATTTCTCAGTCTCAAGTTGTGGAACAAGTCTGTTCACCTTCATAATTGGGATAGTGATACACACTTTATAGGGTTGTTAGGGTTCTAAGTAAATCTAATATAAATCATATTTCAAATGCCTATTATACCCTACTCAAAATACAATGACATATAAATCTATTTATACTACTCAATACCCATGATGATATACTGAGAGTGACTTGGGAATCAGATTAATTTAATAAAAACAATTTTCCCTGCAAGCTTAGCCCACTGATATGTTCTTGAAAATATTTAACTACTCTCACAGGGTCTTGGGCTGGGTGGAGGGCAAAACTCTTATTAAAATGTTCCATTACTAGTCCTCTAAGATTTGGAAGTCATTATGGTTGATTAGTATGATTAATTTTGTAAGTCTAAAAAATTAAGTTTAGCTAATGTATGTATAAATAATTTTAAAAATTAGAATAATATTGAATTAAAGTAATTATGGTTAACAGAAGTTAAAAAGAAAACTGGTCCTAAAAAATTACCTCTGTGTTTCTCTCTGGACTCAAAACTCTACTCTTATGTGGTAGGCAGGGATTACTGAAGTGTTTCAGGATGATTTGGTCCCTAGACAACACTTTTTTTATCAAGAAAGAGGGATCCTAATTATTAATTGCCATTTGACTCTGAGTCAAGCCTCAACTTCCCACTCTATATGTTCAAGGAGCAAGAAAATGTTCTCTAAGCCCATTTTAGCTCAAAAATATTCTATCATTTATTTTAGTCTTTTGTACCTTAATGAAATGTAAGACATTATCAAAGAATCATAATTGTTTTTCATTCATTCAGGTCGAGAATACCAAAATTAATTTTAATTGAGATATACGTGGAGGAGAAATATGTATAACTTTTGGCAAAATTTGTATATGTTTCTCATTCAAGTTAAGAAAAGAAAATTCATCTTTTAAGAAATTTACTGCTGCCATTCATCCCTGTGACCCATGTCACTATGGAGGTGAATTATCACACCACGGATGGCACTAAAAATCTGAGTTAACTCATGGTAATTCAGCATGCAACTTGGAGATAACCAACAGGCTGACTGTGGGTGGCTTCTGTGCCTTTGTCCCTTTCAGTTTCCTAACAGTTCTTGAGGTCTTAGCATGAATTGCAGTTAAGGAGTTCAAGAGCAGTCTTACATAGCAAAAATCAAATTTTTCCACCAGAAGCTTTATAGGAATGGCAGATTTTAGTAGGTTTCTTGGGTATTTTATTTGACTCATTTAAAGTTGATACTGGTAGCCCAAGGGTTGCATCCAGCCTGCAGGTATCATTTTTAGGTTTTTTGTTTTGTTTTTTTTTTGTGTGTGTGTGTGTGTGTTTGTGACCTACATAGTGTTTCAAGAAGACACTGAATTAGAGGCCAATATTAAAAGAGCAGGAAATTGATGTATAAGATTTTACGATTCTTTGTTAGAAAACCCAATTGGCCCATATACTCTGAGACACCAATTGTAGGAGATGAGTCTCACATGTTCTTGAACATGGATGAGCATATCTTACCTTTCTTGAGTTTAGACCTGGTCAACTTCCTTTAGTTAATTCCTGCCTGGCTCCTGTAGCCTTTGAATTGCAGTTTTTTTCCCCTAACATGTTATCGCAGATATTCACCTAGCTTTGGGTTTTAATTCTTTTGCTCTAAGGATCGGATCATCTTAAAAAGTTGAAAAGCATGCCCTTCTCTTAATGAAAATGACCCTTGCCCAGGACCCCAAGGAGTCATGGGTTCAGGTGGAATCACTGTTGCTTAGTTCTGCTTTATGCATGTCTCATCTATTGGACACATGAAAACCATTATCCTAGTTTCTGGTTCAAATTGAATAGATTGTTCTAGAAAGTGAGAGACAAGTAGGAGTTAGATTACCAGCTGTATTCAGAGGATCAAAAGCAATTGACCATTACCTTTTTTCAAAACATAGAGTTTTTAATGAACATCTTTATGTCATTTGGGACTCTAATGGTCATTATTCCTGCCTTCTCAGTATTCTATCAAGAGATCACAGGCCGCTTTCATTTGCAAATGGTAGTCTCATGTTTGCTCCACTATTCTATCTTCATCCTGTAGTTAACCTTGAAGTTTGGAAATAAACACCCTATTGGATTCTTAAATCACTTGAGATTTAGTTCATGGATGGTCTATTTCCCTTTAGGCCTGAAAAGAAGTGGAATTATTGTTATTTAAATTTTTTTTTGGTAGATGGCCAGAATATTTATTTATTCATTAATTTTTATTTATTTGTTTAATTTTATGTGGTGCTGCTGAGGATCCAACCCAGGCCTCACACGTGCTAGGCAAAGTGCTCTGCCACTGAGCTACCAGCCCCAGGAGTGGAATTTACCTATATTGACATGTGAAAGAGAAGAGATCTCCCTATAGTCACTGAAGATGGTGTCAATACTGGTCCATGCTCTTAGCTCCAAAGTGCCAAGGCTGAACCATGGGCACAGCTCTTAGGAGAGTGCTGCCTGGGCTTTCATCTTTGCTCAGTAGGTAATTTCATAACCAGGGTTTTGGGGTGGTGATCCTTAGCTCCACTTAGGTAGCCTCAAAACTATTATGAATGAGTTGTAGACTTTTACAGAAAGACTGGGAGAATTTATTCTCACCATTGCTTGACAACAGGGTAAAGAAGGCTATATTTCCTTAAGAAGATATGGTCTGCATCCTGCAGGCCATCAGTGGAGTTTGCAATTAGAGGCTGAAGGATAGTAAAGAGTGCTAAACAGGGTTCCCACAGGCAGTTTTCAAAATAACAGTGTACACAGGAGAGAAGAGTATTCAAAAATGCATCCTCAGATCTCACCTTGAAGATGATAATTAGGTCTCTGTTGGACATAAGGTTTTGCATTTTTGTGAGGACTTTGGCTCTTGGCCCAACAATCAGATGTTGCAAAACTAGTTCCAAAAGAAGCTGAGATATTTGTGCCCAAAGTCTCTTGACTGCTCTTAAAAATCTGTAGCTAAGGCCATCAAGAAGATGATGTGTGGAAAGAGAAATTAATGTGGAAGAATTCAAAAGCATTAAGCATAGTGGCTAAGAGCTTGGGTTCTCCAGTCAGACTGAATTTGGTTTAAATCCTTTCTTCACCATTTTAAAAATTAGGTGATTTAGTCAAGGTGTGCTTCCATTAAGCATAAACGATCTCCTCTGTCCATCCTTTTGCTCTAAGGATCGGATCACCTTAAAAAGTTGAAAAGCATGCCCTTCTCTTAATGAAAATGACCCTTGCTCGTCCTCCCAAGGAGTCATGGTTGACTATCTGCAAAAACAGTCATAACTATTTTCTTCTCTTAATATACCCTGCTTTACATTATGACTTTGCCACCTGTCAAGAGGTAGAGTTCTCATCCTTTATATGTAGGCCAGATGTATGACTTGCTTTAGCCAAGGAGGATGGTGTGCCAGTCTGAACTGAGGCATCAAGAAAACTTGCCTGTTCTTCTTGGTCTCTTGGGACCTTTGCCATGTGAACAAGCTTGGACCACAGAGAGGAAATGGTTTAGCAGAGGCCTTCCTAAATTAGCCAGCTGACTGTCTGCCCA